AATGGCGCTGCGAGGAGTTACCAGGGGATCTGGCCGACGCTCAACACTCAGGGGAAGGATGAGACGGATATACGACCAGACGGTTACTGGTACCATCAGAATTGGAACTCTTCGCTTGCTGCTGAAGATGGGGACTGAGCACTGAGTGTCCCGAGTGCTGATGCCGATTCTTCATTTAACATTCAACATCAGAGCATCAGATTCTGATCTGCATATTTTCAAGTTTGCTTTTATTGCCTTTGGACTGTCTTGACCTGGCCTGGGCACGGGACAATCAACTTGTAGCTTAGCTACCACTGGCAAGTTCTTAGGATCTCTGGAACACAAGACCCTCTAGTTGGTTATATCTTGACCTGGCCTGGGCACGGGGCAATCAACTTGTAGCTTAGCTACCACTGGCAAGTTCTTAGGATCTCTGGAACACAAGACCCTCTAGTTGGTTATATCTTGACCTGGCCTGGGCACGGGACAATCAACTTGTAGCTTAGCTACCACTGGCAAGCTCTTAGGATCTCTGGAACACAAGACCCTCTAGTTGGTTATATCTTGACCTGGCCTGGGCACGGGACAATCAACTCGTAGCTTAGCTACCACTGGCAAGCTCTTAGGATCTCTGGAACACAAGACCCTCTAGTTGGTTATATCTTGACCTGGCCTGGGCACGGGACAATCAACTTGTAGCTTAGCTACCACTGGCAAGTTCTTAGGATCTCTGGAACACAAGACCCTCTAGTTGGTTATATCTTGACCTGGCCTGGGCACGGGACAATCAACTTGTAGCTTAGCTACCACTGGCAAGTTCTTAGGATCTCTGGAACACAAGACCCTCTAGTTGGTTATATCTTGACCTGGCCTGGGCACGGGACAATCAACTTGTAGCTTAGCTACCACTGGCAAGTTCTTAGGATCTCTGGAACACAAGACCCTCTAGTTGGTTATATCTTGACCTGGCCTGGGCACGGAACAATCAACTTGTAGCTTAGCTACCACTGGCAAGTTCTTAGGATCTCTGGAACACAAGACCCTCTAGTTGGTTATATCTTGACCTGGCCTGGGCATGGGACAATCAACTTGTAGCTTAGCTACTACTGGCAAGCTCTTAGGATCTCTGGAACACAAGACCCTCTAGTTGGTTATATCTTAACCTGGCCTAGGCACGGGACAATCAACTCGTAGCTTAGCTACTACTGGCAAGCTCTTAGGATCTCTGGAACACAAGACCCTCTAGTTGGTTATATCTTAACCTGGCCTAGGCACGGGACAATCAACTCGTAGCTTAGCTACTACTGGCAAGCTCTTAGGATCTCTGGAACACAAGACCCTCTAGTTGGTTATATCTTGACCTGGCCTGGACACGGGGGAAATCAATTTGTAGCTTAGCTACCACTGGCAAGTTCTTAGGATCTCTGGAACACAAGACCCTCTAGTTGGTTATATCTTGACCTGGCCTGGACACGGGGGCAATCAACTTGTAGCTTAGCTACCACTGGCAAGTTCTTAGGATCTCTGGAACACAAGACCCTCTAGTTGGTTATATCTTGACCTGGCCTGCGCACGGGACAATCAACTTGTAGCTTAGCTACCACTGGCAAGCTCTTAGGATCTATGGAAACAAGACCCTCTAGTTAGTTATATCCTGACCTGGCCTGAGCACGGGACATCTAACTTGTAGCTTAGCTACCACTGGCAAGCACTTAGGACCACCGGAGCACAAGACCCTCTAGGATTTTAACTCTTTGGGTACCAAGTGGAACACAAGACCCTCTAGTATTTTAACTCTTTGGGTACCAAGGACAGAATAATTTATATCTAATGTCCTCTGGTTCTGAAGGAGTTGTGGCGAAGACAAGTCAGAGAAGTCTTCTGGAATCTTTTTTCTTTCTGTTGTGTTTATCCTTTAAAAAGAGTGGTTGGTGTATTGTGGTTTACAGCTAGACTGCAATACCTGCACCTCTAGCCCAACACGTCTTCAGCAAACCCTTAATTAGCTGCCTTTTGTTTTGTTATGACACCATTTATGGCACACTGGGCATTCCCATATGTGCTCAGTCCTCTGATGCAGCAGCCACTCCAAGGTACCTCTACTGATTATTCCCATGAGGAGCCGGTTATGAAGGCCACCTAGACGTGCTTCACCGTGTTTTATTCTCATGTCAGGAAATCGTGATAGTGTCCGAGATTCATCGTTATTCGCTAACCTAGTTCATACAGGGTTGATTATCTGCCTTGCTCGTGCTTCTTCCCCCATTCCAATAATAACATAATAGTTTATTGGGCAGGAAGTTCCCACAAAATGTGGCCAAGGAACACACAGGAAGTCTCCAATGTCAAGGTATTTTGTGACTGCCTGCCTTTAGCCATGAGTATAAGTGTGATCAGGGCTTTTTTCACAGTACCGTCACTTTTTTTTAGGCATCATTTTTCAGAGTTATGTAATAGAAACTTTGTGGTTAGTACTAATACCTTTTTAGAAGCCAGCGTGGTGTGGTGGCAAGGCGCTCGCCTGCGTCCAGAAACTTATTTTATTTCTTCAACGTTCTTGAATTTATCCCATTTAATGGCATCAGATAAAGGAAAAAGTCTCTACACCAACCTAAGTCCAACAGATGCAATTCTTTTTCAGGGTTCAAATGTTGGGTTAACTGCCAATTGCTGACTTTATTTTACCACTTTTGCAGAGTAGGCAAGGGGGGTCTTTACGGCCGCATGGCTAGTGCTGTCGCCACACCTGTGCAGGTGAGGTTTTTACTTTTCAAATGTTGCGTGCAGAAATGAAATCCTAATCTATAGTCTGTGATGACAGCACTACCCAGGCAGCCCTAAACCCTCAGGCTCCAGCCCCCCCCCCCTCCCCCCCCCCCCCCCCCCCCCCCAACCGAAAATGTGGTCAATACATGCAGTAATGACCCTTTGCTTTATACAGACAAGTCAATAGGAAAATATTTGTGTCAGTCAAAATAAACAATTCACAAATAATGGAGCACAAGACCCGCAACCAATGCATGCAAAGCGATAAGAGTTTCCTGCCCCTCTTTCTATTTCCTCTCTATATTATTCAGATTTGTTGTTAATTCTCTTCTCCATGTGTTTCTGGGTCTCCCTCTGTTCTGTGCGTTCTAGTGCAAGGAAATGTTACTTATACTCTTATCACAGTATAAAAAGCTATCAGCTTTTCCCAATGTGTATTCTATTCAGTATCTAGTGTCAATTTATAACCTCTTGATTTAGTTAAACTATCAATTATATTTTAGAAATTCACAATCTTGCAACACCAAGAACATCAAGCAAATCATAAATAACACAGTCAATAGCAATCAAAAAAATGAAGCTGAATTATGCAGACTGCCAGACTGGCTTGCATGAATAAAGCAAAAACATCTCTGGCAGGATGAGTTAATTTTAAGTATAAAGATTTAGCGTAATTTAAACCTGATTTGTATGTGCATTTTGTTTCTGTTACGTTTTAACTTATCCTTTATATAAAAGGTCTCCTTACCTGCAGATTTGTATTATTATTTTCTAGTTACTCTTTATTGCAATTACAGTATTCATACAATAATTAACACATGAAGGATTTTTACAAATTTTTCCTTTAAGTTGATTTGATTGATTTGATTTGATTTGATTCAAGAACCGACATCACAGAACTCAGGGCATTCCCATAAGCGCTCCGTCCCCATCTTCATCAGCCGGCGAAGAGTTCCGATACTAATGGTGCCAGTAGCATTCTGATTAAACGTCCGTCTTGCCTTTCCTCTGAGCCTCGAGCATCTGCCAGAACCTCTCGTCACCCCCAACTGCATCAATCTCACTAGACTGTGGTGATCTATCTGCTCCTCCGAATTGTACACGCTCTCCCACAAGGCACTAACCACGTCTGCCCTATCATGTATCAGTATTCCACCAAGTTGTGTAGAGCCAGCCAGTCTGTCCGCCTGTTCATTTCCCAACACACCGGCATCCCCGATGAAAAAATCCAGACAATACTCCTCACTCGTGTCTCCCCAGCGAAGCATGCTGCTCTCCTTTAAGTTGAAAATTTCAAACTTAAAGATACCAAGAACATTTTTAAAATACCATAGATCAAAAAGAAGAAAATCATGTGTGAGTTCTGGGATCCTATTGTAGAGGGAAGATGTGAGTTCTGGGATCCTATTGTAGAGGGAAGATTTGAGTTCTGGGATCCTATTGTAGAGGGAAGATGTGAGTTCTGGGATCCTATTGTAGAGGGAAGATGTGAATTCTGGGATCCCATTGTAGAGGGAAGATGTGAATTCTGGGATCCTATTGTAGAGGGAAGATGTGAATTCTGGGATCCTATTGTAGAGGGAAGATGTGAGTTCTGGGATCCTATTGTAGAGGGAAGATGTGAGTTCTGGGATCCTATTGTAGAGGAAAGAAAAAAAAAAGAAATAAACCCACAGCTTCCCTAACAAGCATGTTGTAACAGTCTACTAATTAGGGGTTTCCTTCGATGTTGGAATGCCTCTGTCTGTGAGGCAAGGAACCAACAGCCTGCATACAAATAAGCGAGATCTGTTAAATGGATATGTAGGCAAAATTCAAGTTCTGGAACAGACGTGGATTAATAAACAGAACTTTCCACCGGAGTTTGCAGATGAATGCGAAGAAGAAAAAAAATACAGAAATCATAAAATATATTAGACTTTCAATATTTCTATAACAATTGTTACTTTCTATGATTCTATACAAGTCATTACTTCAACTCCCAAAGTCACTGCTTTCACTTCTACAGACCTGATGATATTATACTAAAACAAACATTGCCTGGCACTGAAGTAGTTAAAGAGTTATAACCCCTTCATGTTACAAAGCTGTGAATGAAAACAGGAGAAGAAATGAAACCAACATCCCCACAAAATAATTAAATACAACAGCAGCTTGTTCAAAACAAAACAAATGCAACCGCAACCACAGCAGCAGAAAGCGACATTATTTTACCATATTCCACGCACCAAAGTATCTGACATAATACCCACCATCCTTTCCATGCTTCAACTTCCGATGATCTGGTCCTTGAAATTAAACAAAATATTTGTCTGCACGCACACAAATATAACTGTAGCAGATCATGATTCTGTTAATCAATGTTTGCAGTACAACATAACTTCAAATTCTGTAATCATATAAGCATAATACCTCTCTCTTGCTCTCTCTCCCTCCTCCCTATTTTGAGGTTGAAAAAATTCCTGCGACCCCATTTGTGTTGGGGTGAGGAGAGCAGGCCCACTACTAACTAACAAGCATGTCATAAAAGCCAACTAAACAGGAGTTTGCTAAAACAAAATGTGTTGGTTGGGCAGAAAGGCAGATATCACAGCCTAGCTGTAAACCCTAACACAATGTGCCAACTACTCTTTTAAGGGTGAACGAAGAAGAATATAGAAAAGGTGATCTTTACAAATTCTAACTAGCACTATCAGTCAGTTTATCAGTAGATATTACTCCTGCCAGCTCTATTTCACATGGCACTTCCTGATGTCTGTTTACACATTTAGGCCTTATTTGATCTCGCAGTACAAGTCAATTTTGGAAAAATCCACTAAAAATGGGTATTCGAATAAAAAAACATCACAATAACAAACCCCTAAACATCAAAAATACAGAAACAGAAGCATCTCAACATAAAACAGATAAACATACAAGAACATATAAATATCAAACATACAGGAATATCTCAAAATAAAACATACAGTAACATGTCAACATCAGACATACAGACACAACTCAACATCAAACATACAGAAAAACAAGCATCAAATACATTGAAACACCTCAACATCAAATATATGGAAGCCTCTCAACATAAAACAAACACACATATAAGAATATCTCACTATTAAACGTACAGGAATATCGCACCATCAAACATAAGTAACATCTCAAAAGCAAACACATAAAAATCTCAACATCAAGCATACAGAAACATCTCAACATCATTCATATAGAAACATCTTAACATCAAGCATGCAGAAACATCTCAACATCAAGCATACAGTAACATCTCAACATCAAAGATACAGAAACATCTCAACATCAAGCATGCAGTAACATCTCAACAGCATACAATTAAACATAAAGGGATGCCTAAACACCAAACATGCAGAAACATTTCAACATCAAACATTCAGTAATATCTCAAACACATAGTAACATCTCAACATCAAACATACAGAAACATCTTAACATCAAACATACAGAAACATCTCAACATCAAACATACAGAAACATCTCAACATCAGAAATACAGAAACATCTCAACATCAGACATACAGAAACATCTCAACATCAGAAATACAGAAACATCTCAACATCAAACATACAAAAGCATCTCAGCATGAAACAAACATAAAGGAATATCTTGATATCAAACACACAGGAATATTTGAACATGAAAAATGGTCCAGACTGATTTCAAATAAAACCTACCCTCCAAGTAACTGATCAGTTTCGGGATGACTACATCCCATAATCCTGCAATACCGTCATGAAGTACAGGGGAGATGCCCTTCATACAGTTCAGAACGTGAACACCTCGGCCACGGCCATTGTGAGGTCGCCCTGCCAGCACCTGCAGAAAGAACAAATGGGATCTAGCTAATTTTTTTTTTTTTTTCTGGGGTGGGGGTGGTGAGGGGCAAGGAAAAAATATCACACAGTCACCAGCCATGTGGCCCTAAATCCTCAAGCCCCCTCCACACCCCACCCCCACCCCATTTCCTACACTGCCCTAAAAATGGTATTGTAAGCAGTAAAGAGTTTGCATTATTATTATCATTATTATTATTATTATTAATATAATTATTATTATGAAAATTATTATGATTATTATTATAATTAAAAATACGAAACAAAGTAAAAATAAAGTAGGCCAGTTTTTTATACTTCAGGTATACTGGGTATATGGTGCCACGGCATCTGATGAAGAAAGGTGGACAGAACTGATCAGTCAGTCAACAGCAACTAGTTTCCTAGCGATTTATGGTTATAAAACTATGATGATAATTATGATGAACATAATTTAAGTTATTTCTTTGCACCCTGTAGAAGATTTTATCATTAGATACCTTTAGCCTTAAAAGACAATTATAAACATGATTCTAATAAAGTGGCTATCTTGTAGTTTTCAAATGCAGTTGTTAAGGTGTCTTCTCCCGCCATGTGGGTCCTGTGGCCTCGTTCTGGACGAAAAAAAGAACAGACTCGCGGCTCCACCCCAAACAAGCATGTCACAGGAGGCAACTAGTCAGGAGTATTCCCTTCAAAGTTGCAGTGCATCTGTGTGAGTGGGGTGGAACTCAAGTTCTGGAACAAGACCAAAGTCCAGAGGTGGATGAACAACCAGAGCTTCCCGCCAGAGTTTACAGCCAAGAATACTACGAAGAAGGGGACTGTGTGTGTGCTTTTGAAGATTGTCTAGCTGCAAAGCCCCTTATCTTACCCACGTCTGTCTTCTTTTAAAACTGAAATGACTAGCTATATTTTCCATTCACATCAAATGACCATACAACAACAGTGGAACTACTAAACAGGTCAATTACCAAAACTCTTGCAATGAGGCCTGTTGGTTTCGGAATGTTGGCTGAAATAAATTAAACAATTTTTTTTAAAATTAACAAGAACATTATGATTTATAGAACATAAAAAATAAAACATGGAAAATTACAAATCTGTTCTTCTTGCCTGATCTAGGGTGGACATTAGCATTCGTGACTCTTCAGTTCTTTCTGTTATCTTACAGTTGAATTAATTTCTTCTTCTTTTCTTCTACTCCTCTTTTACTGCATCAGGGTCAAGGAAGATATAAGGTACTGTTTCTTGCTCTTCTGGCTGCCTTGACCAAAGACATCCCTGTGTGGGTTCTGAGGCCCCTTTGGGGGGCATTAGATCCCCTGCCCCCCCCCCCCCCACACCCCAACAAGTATGTCGTACAAGGCGACTAATTTGGAGTAATATTGACTAAGTTGGGATGTATCTGCCTGAAAGGTCAGGAACCAACAGTCTGTATACAAATAAGCCAGATCTGTAAAACAGAAGTGCAAGCAAAATTCATGTCCTGGGTTAAGATAAAAGTCCAGAAGTAGACAAACAACTAGAACTTTCCCCAGAGTTTACAGCCGGTGAGCACGAAGAAGAAGAAGAAGAAGACCACAGACACAGTGTGATGTTGCAGAGTTTCTGCGATGTAACACATGTACCAGTTACCACATGGACAGGAAGACAGAAAGAGTTAGGAGAAAGAGAATTAAGTGAAGTGAACACAAGACAGCCATAAATAAGAGAACTAGAACTCAGTATATTTCTAGACACTTAATGTTGCAAAAGAGGAAGTGCAAAAGAAAAAGACGTTAGTTAAACTTATGATGACATTTGAACCACTTCAAGTGTACATGGTATTCTATGTGTCGAAATACTTACGAGCGGTCTCAAAATCAATTTCATAGTCAGGTGCATTCTCTGCTCGCTTCTTCTGTGAGAGAAACCCCAGAGAGCGACACACTGGGCCTGCTGCTGCTGTGTACTGCTCGGGAATCACAAGCTCCAGCAAGTAAGGCCACAAAACCTGCAGTCAGCGATAATGTATTCTATTACATTTTTTCACAATAATCAACACAACAGAAATGAAAGGTTTGTGACAAATCATCAATTTAACAAGTAGAGACAGGATAAGGAATAATTATATCAGGAAGCAAAGTGAGACAAAACAGGTGCTAAACTAATTGAGAGAGAAAAGATCAAAGGGGTCAGTCATAGGTCAAGACTACCGCAAGATAGTGCACCACAGACAGCACTGTCATACAATGTACAACGAGCCTGCATGCCCAATTTGTAACCTTTAAAAAAAAGAAAATAACAGTTTTTAAATTTGTTTGTGTTCATTTTCCAAGACACTGTGGATGCAGAACGAGAGGTGGCCTATGCAAACAATGGATAGACAGAATATCTGAGGCTGTGAATACTAGCACCTATTAAAAAGAAATTAAAAAATCACAAGAGGTGATTAAGGAGGGTTTTTGATGGACTGGCAACCTCATTTAGCTGAAAATGCACCTCCAAACTATACTACTCAACAACAACAAAACACACACAGCTATTGAAAGGAACATAATTTTTTAAATAATTTTGACATTCAAAATCTGTGCAATTTAATGAATAAAACTTTTAAGTTGCATACATTTATATCTTAGGGTTCAACCAAATCAACTTTTGCATCTTGGTCATCAATAGTTTTTAGGCGTACAGGCTTTCTCATCAACCAACAAAAAAAGGTGCCATCGGATAACTATGTACTTCTTTTTTTTTTTTAATTGAACATCATACAAAAGGCTCGCATTTTACAACTTAAGATTGAAAGAGTAACCAGATTGGAAAACAGAGACACTGGTTATAACCCTTTGACAGAGAAAAAAAAAAGGATTCCTCAATCACGTGAACAGAGAAGACCAAGTGACAATAATATGCTTTTTGCAAACTCAATAAACCTTCATATAAATTAGGTATGAGCCAAACAACTCTATGCTAGCGATTTCATGCTGAATAGACCCCAGAATATGTCTCGCAAGACTGTCCTCTCCTGAAGAAGCAACATGTGGCCACACCCAGTAGACCTGACAACTAAGCTTTGGGGAAACCTAAGAGACTTCAAAATAAGCTCCCAGTTTATGGCATACAGTGAATTAAGTGTATGACCAGAGATTGCTGAAAAAAGGAAGGATAAGGCAACTACTCACAGAAAAACTAACTTTAGCTACCTCTCACTTCATTTATAAGCCCTGAAACAACTTCTTATTCTTCTTTTGTCCTACTGCCTAAGTGTTGCAGAGAAGAGCTATATGTACTTTCCTGTCCTCAACTGGTTGCAAAGGTTGTGTTAAAGTTATATTGTGTTTCTGTAGTGCCTCTTTTACTCTCTCCACCCATCTCGTTCTTGGTCGGCCTCTTGCATTGTAGCCTGCTGTTCAAATGTTGTAGGTTCTAGCTGCTGGTTGATATTTTCCATTCTGACCAGACAAGCAATAAATTTGATTCTTTGATGTTCAATGAAGTTATTAACCCGTACTGTGCCTACTACTATTCTTAGTTATTTACTTGTGAACCTATCTCTTACTGTCTTTCCCGCCGCATCACTTATAAATCTCATCTCACATGTTGTTATTTTGCAAAAGTCAATGTGCCAGTTGGTTTGTGACTGTACCAAGCAGAGACATCTGATGCTACTTCTTTTCATTCGTCCAAGCGATGTAATTGCGCTGTGCCTCTTTACAGCAAAGCTGCGATATTTATGCCTTTCGGCCAACACATCCGACTTCATTGAGCATTTGTTGACAGGGTTAACTTCCCAGATAGTTTCAATGGGACAGCGACATGTTGCAGCCTTATTTGAGTAGTGTTTTCTTATCCAGGTGATATCCCTGGAGAACCCATCCAGGGCAATTGAGAGCAGACTGGTTGGCCCTCAGGGTAAGGTAGGGGGCAAATCAAGGGCATTCCCAGCCATCCAAGGAGACTTCCGTAGATGCAGAGCCGACTTCTGATGCTCTGCTATTGGGCTCACCCAAGGAATCATCAAGTCTTGCACATGACTGCTTAACCTCACATCCATGTCAAGAACCTACATGTCTAGGGTTCGATTCTATATAGCTGCGCAGCAGGCTAATGACTCATAAACACTGCTAACGAACACACCCAAGCCAAACACTGGTTGAACATATGTTGATCTTTCCATTTGTCAAGGACTTTGATGACCACACAAATAGGTACATTCTTGTGACAGCTGATACAACAATCCCCAGTGACTTGACTTACCGTCTCCATGTTTTCAATAGTGGTGGTCACCAACATCAGGATGTTGTCACACATGCTCCTCAGTGCCTGGTTGCTCACATACTCAGGATCTGGTGACCTTTTGCCCTGTGAGGAAGATAAAGATTTCCATTTCTGTTCCTGAAAACTGGATTATGTCATGAACAAATACCACTAGAATCATAACAGTAAATATGCAATCCATAAGTATAATTAGTGTATTCAAAAAGAAAAGTTTTGGTTGAGTACTTATATTGCTGGGCTTTCAAGCAGAAGGCCCAGGTTCTATTCTCGGTAAGGGATGGACATTTTGTCTGTCAGGGGCAAAAATTCATCACCCAAGCACCCCGAGAAGCATGAGACAACTACAGAAAACCATTATATTGGGCTACCACCTGGTAACAGTGAGATGGCAAATAAATTCCCAAAACAATTTTATTTTAAAGGGGAGCTTAAAAAAAAAATTCCTAACCTGCACAGCCCTTACCAAATGCAGTCGCCACACGGCCTTAAAACCTCAGGCTCACGATACTACCCCCCCCCCCCACCCCCCCGACTTTCCGGTCCTACACTGCCTTAGAAGTGATAAGTGCAGGCAGTAAATACAGTCATCTAAGACATATATGGTGCTCCTTTGGTTCCTAATTATACACAATCTAAATCTGGCTCTTTGAATCACAGAAAAAATATACAAGTCATCTTCTAGCTCGCTAAAACACACAAATATACAAGCATACATTGGCTCTCAAAACATAAACACATGTCTGTATTTGGCTCCCTTTTATGAATAAACACACATGTCTGCCTAAAACATAAAACTCTAAAAACATAAACACACATATACAAGTCTACCTTTGACTCTCTAATATATGCAAACATAAAGTCTACCTTTGGCTCTCTAATATACACAAAACATAAAGTCTAAGTCTACCTTTGGCTCTTTAATATATGCAAACATACAAGTCTACCTTTGGTTCTCTAATATACACAAAACATAAAGTCTAAGTCTACCTTTGGCTCTCTAATATATGCAAACATACAAGTCTACCTTAGGCTCTCTAATATATGCAAACATACAAGTCTAATTTTGGCTCTCTAATATATGCAAACATACAAGTCTACCTTTGGCTCTCTAATATATGCAAACATACAAGTCTACCTTTGGCTCTCTAATATATGCAAACATACAAGTCTACCTTTGGCTCTCTAGTTTACACAAACATAAATGTCTACCTTTAGCCTTCTATTATATACAAACGCTAATATACACATACAAGTTACCTTTTGGCTCGCTAATATACATAAACATACAAGTTTACCCTTTGACTCGCTAATATATATAAACATACAAGACTAACGTCTGGCTCGCTAATATACATAAACATACAAGTCTACCTTTTGGCTCGATATTATACATTTACACACATCAACAACTCTTATGAATACAATTGGAAGCTTTTTGAATATTATCTCACTACAGACTACAAGTCCCATTAGAAGATAATAATACCCTTAGCAATTGTTGATTACCACTAAGATTTGTTTATACTTAGTATTATAATTGTTTTAAAATGTAGGCAGAACACATTGTTACTTAAGATTTTGTTGTTGTCTAATATAATTATTATTATCTGCTTAAACTATCTGTGAAAGAATAATGTATGCAGTGAGGCCAGAAGGGCAGGATGTAAGACGGGCCTGTGTGCCCAATACATAAACCTTTAAAAATAAAGTCTCTTCGTTCTTTCTCTAATATACACAAACATACATGTCTACCTTTGGAGCTCTAATATACCTTTGGCTCCCTAATACAAACAAACATATGTCTACCTTTGTCTCTCTACCTCTAATAGACACAAACATACAAGTCTACTATGGGCTCTCTACCTCTAGTAGACACAAACGAAACCAACCTTTGGATCATCCTCCAGAGCACACTGTCTGACGATGAATTCCACCATGTGATGACCACCCTCAAGCATGAGATAACCATGGTGGGCCATGGCGATGATCACTTGGGCAAACATCTTCTTCACCTGCACAGTAAGGAAAACAGAGGCAGAAAGTTAACTTATCAATGTTCCACAGTAAGGAAAACAGAGGCAAAAAGCTAACTTATCAATGTTCCACAGTAAGGAAAACAGAGGCAAAAAGTTAACTTATCAATGTTCCACAGTAAGGAAAACAGAGGCAAAAAGTTAACTTATCAATGTTCCACAGTAAGGAAAACAGAGGCAAAAAGTTAACTTATCAATGTTCCACAGTAAGGAAAACAGAGGCAGAAAGTTAACTTATCAATGTGCCACAGTAAGGAAAACAGAGGCAGAAAGTTAACTTATCAATGTGCCACAGTAAGGAAAACAGAGGCAAAAAGTTAACTTATCAATGTGCCACAGTAAGGAAAACAGAGGCAAAAAGTTAACTTATCAATGTGCCACAGTAAGGAAAACAGAGGCAGAAAGTTAAGCTCTTAATTACCTTATCAATGTGCCACAGTAAGGAAAACAGAGGCAGAAAGTTAACTTATCAATGTGCCACAGTAAGGAAAACAGAGGCAGAAAGTTAACTTATCAATGTGCCACAGTAAGGAAAACAACAGAGGCAGAAAGTTAACTTATCAATGTGCCACAGTAAGGAAAACAGAGGCAGAAAGTTAACTTATCAATGTGCCACAGTAAGGAAAACAGAGGCAGAAAGTTAACTTATCAATGTGCCACAGTAAGGAAAACAGAGGCAGAAAGTTAACTTATCAATGTGCCACAGTAAGGAAAACAGAGGCAGAAAGTTAACTTATCAATGTGCCACAGTAAGGAAAACAGAGGCAGAAAGTTAACTTATCAATGTGCCACAGTAAGGAAAACAGAGGCAGAAAGTTAACTTATCGATGTGCCACAGTAAGGAAAACAGAGGCAGAAAGTTAACTTATCAATGTGCCACAGTAAGGAAAATAGAGGCAGAAAGTTAACTTATCAATGTTCCTGCACAGTAAGGAAAACAGAGGCAGAAATTTAACTTATCAATGTGCCACAGTAAGGAAAATAGAGGCAGAAAGTTAACTTATCAATGTTCCTGCACAGTAAGGAAAACAGAGGCAGAAAGTTAACTTATCAATGTGCCACAGTAAGGAAAACAGGCAGAAAGTTAACTTATCAATGTGCCACAGTAAGGAAAACAGAGGCAGAAAGTTAACTTATCAATGTGCCACAGTAAGGAAAACAGAGGCAGAAAGTTAACTTATCAATGTGCCACAGTAAGGAAAACAGAGGCAGAAAGTTAACTTATCAATGTGCCACAGTAAGGAAAACAGAGGCAGAAAGTTAACTTATCAATGTGCCACAGTAAGGAAAACAGAGGCAGAAAGTTAACTTATCAATGTGCCACAGTAAGGAAAACAGAGGCAGAAAGTTAACTTATCAATGTCAGTTAGCATTGGGGAGGGGCTATAGTTTTAATGATTTGTGATGAGGGGGGGGGGGGGGGTGGACAGTATGTATGAATTCTTCCTTTGTATTTACTCTTAAAATGGGGGTTGGCTTGTAATATTGTGATTTACAGCCAGTCTATGAGATTGGAGCCTCTGAGATCAACATAGCCAATTTCAACAAATCCATATTTAGTCGCCTTTTACGATATGCTTGTAAAGGGTGGCAATATCCCCCCCCCCCCCCCCCCCCCCCCATGTGGCATTGGAACTCATGTGGGAAGTATGAATAACTGATAACTTTGATCAAACTTGACTTCAACTTGACCTGGCTGTTATTCTGACACAATGAAAGGCCTAGAGCAAATACTTTGTTATGCCTCCACAGATTCTAGGACAACATTTTAGAACCTTTTTACACATGTGAACCGGGTAAATCAGATAAATAGTTTGTAGTTTGCGGACCTGCTAATGACTAAAACAGAATCAAAAAACAAATGTAGATAATACTTTATTTATTAGATCCAATGTTATCAAATTATAATTTACAACTAAAGTGACATCTGAATCTGCTTAGAGGTTAGAAAATCGTATATGCCTGGTTGGAGTGTTGTTTCTGAGATGAAGCACTTCAATAAGATCCATTCTATTTCTCTGATTTCCACTGCAGCCACTTCATGATTGAGGGGAAAGTTTTTGGCAGGTCACCAGAAACTGTCCATGGACCCTTGCCAGTCCACAGACTGCAACCGAAAGTACAGGGTTCTATAAATAAAGTAATGTAAATGACCCTCTTCCCCGTCTTTCAGTGCATTGGGCTAGACCTATTTTTTTTATAGACTTATCAGCACTTGGTAGGTTATGTGGTCAGCATCATGATGGCTGCATTTACTTCTCAGAACTCTACTTGTTACCCATTCAAGGATGGATCGACCTATGAGCCAAGGTTTTTTTTTTAAAGTCTGGTACTGCCAGGACCCTGAACCTTTCCGATTCACAGGCAAGCGTCTAGCCGCTACACCATGGGAGCTCCCACAGGGTTCAATAACGTTTCTTAATTAATCAGAAATAACAATCACCTTGTTGTTTGTTTCGTTACACAATCCCTTGAGTCCTGACACAATCACTTCCTTCTTATCTTCCATGGCAGACACTGAAAGCAATTAAATAGTAAAGTCAAGAATCATTTTCAGGTCTTGTGGTGTATCATATACATGATATACTACACCTTTCAATGTCTTGTGGTGTATGATATACATGACATACTGACATTTTCCAGGGATTGTGGTGAATTATATACATGATATACTACACTTTTCCAGGTCTTGTGGTGTATTATATACATGACATACTACCATTTTCCAGGTCTTGGGGTGTATTATACACATGATATACTACCATTTTCCAGGTCTTGTGGTGTATTATACACATGATATACTTCCATTTTCCAGGTCTTGTGGTGTATTATACACATGATATACTACCATTTTCCAGGACTTGTGGTGTATTATACACATGATATACTACCATTTTCCAGGTCTTGTGATGTATGATATACTTCCATTTTCCAGTTCTTGTGGTGTATTATACACATGATATACTACCATTTTCCAGGTCTTGTGGTGTATTATACACATAATATACTACCATTTTCCAGGTCTTGTGATGTATGATATACTTCCATTTTCCAGGTCTTGTGGCGTATTATACACTTGATATACTACCATTTTTCAGGTCTTGTGGTATATTATATACATGATATACTACCATTTTTTAGATTATACACATGATTTACTAACATTTTTCAGGTCTTGTGATGTATTATATACATGATATACTTCCATTTTCCAGGTCTTGTGGTGTATTATACACATGATATACTACCATTTTTCAGGTCTTGTGGTGTATTATATAGATGATATACTACCATTTTTCAGGTCTTGTGGTGTATTATATACATGATATACTACCATTTTCCAGGTCTTGTGGTGTATTATATACATGACATACTACCATATTCCAGGCCTTGTGATGTATTATATACATAAAACATCCATTTTCCAGGTCTTGTCATGTATTATATACATGATACACTTCCATTTTCCAGGTTTTTCTTATGTAATTTATACATGATACACTACCATTTTCCATGCTTTGTGGTTAATTATATACATGATACATTTCCATTTTCCAGGCCTTGTGGTGTAATATATTCAATGTCAGGTTTTGAAGCGGCATCTGGTGCGAGCATTGGTATGTGCTATGCAGTTCTTAGCATTCAGAGCCTCAGATATTCCATCTATCCATCACCTGTGTTGAAGACCTCTAGCTCTGCTCCCGTGACAGCGCTCTCTGTGGTGCACTATCTGCTGGTAGTCTTAACACATGCCTGAACCATCTGATCTTATGTCTCTTCAGGTAGTTTAGCACTGGTTCCATCCCCATTTGTTTCCTAGTATCATTATTTTTGATCGTGTCTCTTTTCGTTACATTTAGGAATTGTTGTAGACATTTCATTTCTGTTTTAACTGTTCTTTTCTTTTTTGTTGTTGTTAATGTCCGCATTTGGCACTGGTAACACAGAACCAGTAAACAGACAATGACAAGACGTTACATGAATATAAAAAAAACATAATTGTTTGAACATTTTGCATGTCCTTACCTGCTGCATTGATCACATGCCTGAAGATTGACAAAATGCCAATTTTGATTTTCTCATCTCTCGTCTCCAACTTCCCTAGCAAAATCCCAACTAGTTTCCCAGAAAATGCCCGAGCTGAAAAAAGGTTTTAAAATCTGAATCACATGCAAGAAAAAACTTCAAGGAATTTTTTTTTTATTTAAAAAAAAAAAGGTTAAATAGAAGTAGACAAAAAAAAAAAGGTTCCATAAAGAGAGAGCTAGCAGTAGAAATGCCCATCAATATCATGTATAGGGGAATCAAGGAAGCAGAACATTTACATAATTATGATGAGGACAAAGTTATCAACAGTATAGATCTTCTTCTTCTTTTGTCATCACACTATTACTGGATTGTAGCCTAGCCTGTGGTTTTCTGTATTTGTCTTGTGTTTCTTGGGGTGACCTGAGTGATGGCTTTGTTTATCTTTCTGTAGATTTGAGCTATACCATCTGTCAATCTCTTCCTTGGTTTTCCTCTCGCTTTCCATCAAGATGTTCTACTGTAGAAAGGTTCATGTACAGTTTGGTCTAGCTGTATTCTTACTAGATGACCAAACCATTTCATTCTCTGTCTCTTAACGTAATTCAGTCACAGTCTTCCTCCAACCTTCTCTCTAATGGTGTGAATCCCACAGTTTAGATGAAAGTACAATAGCAAACATGTGTGTAGTGCTAAAGTATTATTTTATCATCCCTTTATACTATAATTAGAGTCAATTAGGAAAAGACAATTTAAGTGAAAAACAAAGATACACAATTACAAACCTATAATTGCAAATGACCTCAAAAGTTCGTTGTGGTTTTTGATGCTCATTGGGTTGTTGTAATCTACAGGCTGAAAAATCTGGCAAGATTACCAAAAATAATTCATGTAAATTGGAATAATACTGTGTTTGTTACGATTATCATAAACATTATCCAATCAAATAAGTGAACTAAAAATATGTCTAGGAAGCTTGACAATTTATAAATAAATAACAAATGTTTTGGCCAAAGTCTTTTCTGATGAAAAATAAATAAAACAGAAACATGACAACCTACAAACAGTAACTTGAAGATCATTCATAAATAAACATCACAAACATAATCACAGCTACAAAAATGTTGTTATAAATCAAAAATTACAAGGTTATCTAAGACGCTGATAATGAAAATGAGTTAGCAGAGGAAAATCCTACCTGTGAAAACAGAATGTTCAGCAAGTTGTCCAGGTATGGCTCCAGAATGAGACTTCCTTCGACACACACGGCATCCAGCACCATACAAAGTCCCTGGAAATTGCAAACATTTATAACAAATTTATTCTCTAAAAAAATTTAGCTACAGTCTGGTAGGATGTTGCTTAAACTCTATCACAAGCGGCTGATGCCCAAATTCTATTTCTGTACCTTGTTCCTATTTTTTCCATATCCATCTCACATATGAAGCCTTTTAAAAAACTATCCAATCTCTGGCCACAAAAAATGCAGTTAATCATCTAGATGTCTGAAAAATCGAACCCATTCAAAGCAGTAAATCTAGGACTGCACACACTTCTCCACATAGCCCCATCACTGTTGGAAGTATTTTAGGAAGGTCTCGTTGGGAATGGAGTTCAATCTTGCCACATACATCACACAAAATGTTTCCTCAATAGGGTCTTAATGATAACTCAAATATGGTCCCTTTCAGCTGCACTTTCAGTTTGGGAACAGTTACAAATCACAAGCAGCTATGTTAGGTGAGTAAGGAGCCTGACAGACCAGAGGTATGTTGTGTTTGGTCATGAAATCAAGTGAAAAGAAAAGAATAAATGGGTGTATTGATATGACAGAGCTTGAAAAAACCAAAAGGCAGAGGGAGTCCTAGAAGAAGATGGATCAAAGGAGTCAATGGAAATCTAAGATTCCATAACATGACAGCATAACAAGCAAGTGAGCCCAACCCTTGCTGCTGAAGTACCTATCTGTTAAACTGCAATGCCTGGTGGCACAAAGCAGATACTGACAAAAGAAGAAGTTGTATGTATGTTCTCACCTGCGTGATGTGATAAGCTTCTTGGTGACGTTTGTACAATGAGAAAATGCCCTGCAGAATCTTGGGAAGCTGCTCCTGCAATCTGTCCTTGCTCATCACATGAGTCATGTGACCAACTGCTTCAATGATAGCAAGTCTCAGCTGCAGACGTCACAGAAAAAAGCCAATCATATATTACAGACAGTTTCAGGCATACATAAGTAAAACTTTTTTGAAAAAAGTGAAAAGTAAAGAAATATCTTTCTTCCTCAGACTCTATGTGCCCGCACAGGTGTGTGTATGTGTGTGCATATGTGTGTGGGTGTGCATGCTGCTAATTCAGACTGTTTATTTCTCGCTTCTCCGGCAGGTGCACTCCGACTTCAAAGGAAAACGAAACACCCCATATTAGACGATTCATACAACATGCTTCTTGGGGAAGGTGGGAAGTATCAATTGATCTATTCTTTCTCTTCACAAAATGGGAGCCAGGAATCAGGTCCCAGAACCCAAAACAGGGAGACAAACTGTCCAACATTCTCTCTCTTGGTTCTCTACCCTTCCAACTTTCCCATTGTCACAATGTGACCAAAGAACATACACTTCTCTTGCTGATCCAAGTAATCAGTTTTCTTTGTGAGTATATGCATGCATGCATGCATGCATGCATGCATGCATGCATGCATGCATATCCATCCATCCATCCATCCATCCATCCATCCATCCATCCATCCATCCATCCATCCATCCATCCATCCATCCATCCATCCATCCATCCATCCATACATACATACATACATACATACATACATACATACATACATACATACATACATACATACATACATACATACATACATACATACATACATACATACATACATACATACATACATACATACATACATACATACATACATACATACATACATACATACATACACATATATATATTTAAAATACAAAATTAATAAACGTGACTAACCTTGGCCTCTTTCGACTGAAGCCATACATTAAACATGATGTCGTATGCTGAAAATATTTCGGATGCAAATCGATCTGTGGAAACTGACTTATCAGGGGCCTGATCCAGGTTTGCACAGTATTCCAATATTGCTTCACTAAACTTTGATATAGCTGAAATACAGTTCACAATAGTTCATCTAGTTCATACATGACATACATTTTTATTTATGACCTAAAGACCATTTACGAACAAATATTAAGATACATTTTTAGCTGAGACCTCATTTAACACTGTAAAATGTATGATGCTAACTGAGAAACCATCTAGCCTGTTCCCACCTCAATTAAGACAAAGCTGTATGGTACAGACGGAGATATGGACTGAACGATAGCAACCTCAAAAAGGCTACCGGCTTCCTGATAGAAGTCTTCTAATAGATTAGCTATATACTTCACATTCTTTATGTCACTGTTGACATAAAGGCATTCACTAGTGATCTCCATTGTTGCCGATCTGTTGCTTTTCTTCTTCTTTCTCTTTTTTCCACTACTCCTGGAAAGCCTGGTATCTTCAGGACAGGAAGAGATTTCTGGAGCTGACCCTTCTGTTCACTTCGTATATAATACTGTTCAGTGTCTCCGATATTTTCGCGGTCCATATTCTGCGTGGTCGACCTCTGGCTCTGTTACAGCTTTATCTGTTAACATTGTTCTCTGTGGGGCCCTATCTGTTGCCAATCTTGTTACCTGGCCAAACCATTTCATCTGTTTTCTACCGATAAAGTTCAGTATTTGTTCTCTGCCAACTCTCCTCCTGATGTCAATGTTCCTAATTCAATCTTTCCTAATTCGATTTGTTGTGGATTTTTAGGAATAAATAATATGGCAGTTTCCTTTTCATGTTAACATCCATCTGCCTTTCGACTGTCTCAGACTTTAGATGCCTGTTTGGAGATTTTGGTATGCATATGCCCTAGATAAAAACTAGGATTGACGAGTTGGAATAATTAAAGGACTTAAAAATACAGAACAATGTATAGGAAATATCAAAGAGTGTTCCAGAACTATATTCATATTTCAACACTGAGTGGCATCAGGAAACAACAGAAGAAGTCTCACCTGAAGCAAAAACCCATCTCATGTTGTCGTACTTGGCTAAACCCAACATGGGCAGCATGGTTCCTAAAACTGCAGTCAGGTGTGGCACCATATCATACACTGAAAACACAACAGGATATTGCCCAAAAATTAATCACCATGTGTTTTGTCATCTCACACAATCACCAGAATCATAGATTAGGTCAGTGTTCTTGTCTCAATCCCATCCTTGTGCTCAAGCCATCCACCAAGTTGTGCAGAGCCAGCCAGTCTGTCCACCTGTTCATTTCCCAACACACCGGCGTGCCCCGGTGAAAAAATCCAGACAATACTCCTCACCTGTGTCCTCCGCAGCAAAGCATGCCACTCTGCACGAAGCATACCTGTTCTGATTTTTCTCAGCATGCTTTCTGAGTCAGTTACAATCACGATGTGTGTGTGTATGTGTTGTGTTCTGTAGCCAGCGGAAAGCTGCAGTGACCGCCTCCACCTTCATTCTTAAGCTGGATGTTGTGGCTAGGCTCTCCTGCACCAAACGTCGACCATTAGCTTTTGCTAAGAAGCCCCAAGCACTTCTTTTGCCTCTTGACACTGAACCGTCTGTGTAAATGATCAAATCTTCTGAGCGAGCATTATCTTGAATTAATTGCTGAATTTCCACCTCCCTGGCACCTGCTGGCCCAGTCTCTGCATTCCCGGCTCAGCGTGATTATGACTCTACGCAAGTCTGACTGCTCAGGTGGCACTTTGACCCACTCCTCTCCTCATGTTCTCAAGGATGCAAACCTGTCTGATTGTGTCTTCTGCCTGAGCCATCCATGACCTCCCTCTTATCAGCCGCTGACCCTTAACTGCACCTAGAACTTCATGCAAAGGGTGGTCTGTGTCTGCAGCTACCCTCAGATATGACTTCGTCTGCAGCACCTAGTGCCTACCTGCAACCGTCGGCAAACTAATGATGTATCGCATACACACCACTGGGGTGTCTCTGGTGCAACCCAGAATGACCCGCATAGCACAGATGATTTCCTTTATTTTTTAGATGTTTCCTTTAAAGTTTGGATGCATCTGCCTGAGAGGTGAGGAACCAACAGATTGCATACAATTAAGCCAAATTTGTAAAACAGATGCGCACGCAAAAGTCAGGTTCTGGAAGGAGACTAAGGTGCAGAAGTTGATGAACAATTAAAACTTTCCACCAGTGTTTACAGCCAGTGAATGCGAAGAAAATGAAATCAACAGCTGATAATCCCACTGCAATATCTGGAAACTAACAAAAATAATAACTGACACACCACCACAACATGTAAATTTCAACAAAATCACTTACCATTAGCAGCAGCCAAGTTGCCAATTGTCTGGACAACAAAAAAGTGCGGCAAGACTCCAGGTTGAAACTTCTCCAGCATCTCACCCATTACTTCATTGCAATACTTGCTTCCTAGAGCTACCAAAATTCCGCTGGCTGCCGTCTGCCACTCAGGAGACACTTCCTAATAGAAATTTAAGAAATTCACCATGAAGATTCTGTTTATTTTCTACGACTCTGTGCTTGGCTTGGTGAGATGTGAACCCTCTGGAAGACTGAGTTTCAACTCTTTCAAATCTATGGGAACACAATTTGAGTACTTTCCCCCCGGATTTGTGGGAATACTAGAAATGTCTGGGCAATCCAATCAATGGTGTCAACAGTTTTGAGACACAGAAAGAAGACGGTGCTATACTGGACACATCTTGAGAAGAAACAAGCAGTGAGTCACCAAACAGTTACTGAGATAAGAAACAGAAGGATCGGAGAAACAAGGAGGTCAAAGAGAAACACTAAAGAGAACTTACATGAGAGAAGCCAAAGTACTGGAATGGATTCCATCCATGATACTCAAGTGATTGTACAGGACAGAATGGAATGAAGGAAGCCCTATGTGACATTGAAATGCACAACATGACAATATGTGTATGGATGTAACTGGATTACCGTCTCCAGGATTTATGTGAGCCCAATTGTGGTACTATCCCAAGGATTCCTTTAAATCAACAGAAGCAGTCTCTATAGTATTAATGGGGACACAACTGGAGTATTGTCCTCAGGATTTATGGGAATGCAATAAAAGTACAATCCCTTGCACCCCAGGTCTGGTGGAAAACCTGTTTTATTTACTTTTTATTGCCATATTCTGATGTATTCCTAATTTTTATGTATAATTGTCAAAACACTATCACCTATTCTGGCTAAAAACTGCTGTGTTCATTCAACATGGAATATTGTTAGCAAACACTTGTCTTAGAAGGAATGTCAGGATAACAATTTTAATTTCTCCCATAACTAAGCTTGCATGATGAGGCAATTAATGTAAATCATTTTAAATCGTTCCAGCATTCTAAAATTCACCCTATTTGTTTCAAAATGACATTTTACATTTCATTAATGGGTCAAATGTCAAGAATTTTTTGGGGTTTTTGTTTTCGCTGAAGCAAAAACAGGGCTGCTTACGACCAGCAACATTAAGTGACTTGTCGACTGGCTCCAGTCCTTCTTCTGCTATGTTAACATAACCTAATCCATTTAAAAGTTATCAAGATGATGCGAGTTAACACGAAGAGTTCTCGTCTCTCGCATCCTGGGTTTCGCCTCGCATTCTGGAGCCAAAAAGCTGGCGAGCCTGACCTCATATCCTGAGGTTTCACTGTAGGGGGAATGGATTTTGTCACTGAACTTCAAAATGTAAAATGTTACAACCAGTAATTACATCGTTGTATCATGTATTTCTTGGCCCTTTCACCATTATAATAATGATAATGCAGCATCAGCATTAATTACAAATCCCCAGGAAAAATGTTAAACTGGAATTGCTGCACTGGCATGTAGAGATTTACAACAATTGAACACTCTACCCTGTATGTGCCTTTAAAATATGTGAAGTTTTGACTGTCAGTTACACCTGGCTGGTATTGCCATTACAAATGCCCCAGTTATAACTTTTCTGCAGCTTCAACAGTGTATCTGAGATTTGCCCTGCCCCAGTGAACGTCTTTGCAGCTTCAACAGTGTATCTGAGATTTGCCCTGCCCCAGTGAATGTCTTTGCAGGTTCAACAGTGTATCTGAGATTTGCCCTGCTGGTCTTCTGTCCAGCTTAAGATTTTGTCATCTCAACGTCTCAAACCTTTAGGTAAGCACTCTGAAGGAGGAAAACTGGAGTCGAATGCTATCAGCATCTTCATACATTAGCAAAGAGCACAACTCATACCTTAGACTGGGTCATTTCTGCGGAAGCCTGTTTGATCAAGTTCATTGCCAATTGAAGATCTATGGAATCTAGAGTCTCTCTGATAATTCTCTCAATGATATTCAGTATAATCACACGGTGCTCTGAGGGCAGCTGCAAGAAACAGGAATTTTCCATTTATATCATTAGTTCCTTGTAAAAAAAAAAAAAAAGCAGCAGTCAGAAATATTTTTTAACTGGTGACTTGTTACAGAAACACCTTGCATTTAGGGAAGAGAGAAAATAAATGATATTTTACAAGATCTGAATTTCAAACAAATCTGGCTCATACTGAGTTAAGAACCAAATCATTGTGCTTGGTCTTCATCTTCAGTGCACAGATCCAGTTCTGTTGGTAGCAGTCACACTCTGAATGTATGTCCGCCTTAGTTTTTCCTGGTTTTGAATACCAGCCAGATTCTCTGGCTTATAAACAGGATCATATCTCGGAAACTAAAATAAATGTTGCTATTTTAAATATTTCATAAGTTTAGACAGTACAGTAATCAAAGGTATGGATCCTGGAAGAAAAGACAGAGATAGACCAGCATAAAGGTGGGCACATGGAATTGGGGACACAATGAGGAAGAAATTAGCAAGACCAAGAGCCTTTCTGGCCAACATGATGAGAGTGAATTTTCTTCAAATTACCAACAACATGATGATGATGATGATGATGATGACAGGGTGTAGGAAAGAGGGGATGGTTTCTCAATGTAAGGGACAGCTATATCCTCTAAGCCGAAGATTCCCAAACCTCTACTGCTGGTGACACATTTTATAGAGAAACTTAATTTTTCAACATCCCTGATTAGAGATACATACATATATATAACAGTAATAATGAAATGTTTCATAACACAACGTATCTCAAAAAAAGCTTTCACTTTTAACAATATTTTAAAGATTAATGTCATTGTTATACTTTATGTTCACTGGACATACTTTCATAATGCAGCCAACAGACTAATGTGTTTCAACACACAGTTTGGAAAGCTCTCCTCTAAGTGTAAACAATCAAAGAGAATTCTCCCCTGCCTAACTTATATGTTGCTTCATGGAAACACCCAAGCAACAGGTCTGGCAAAATTTCATTAGAAAGCTCAGTAGTAGACCTATCAGTAAGAGAATGTCCATCCCTATACTTCTTCATTTCTCTTCTTCCCTCTTCCCCTTCTTCTTCAGATATCAGGTCTCTAGTAGGCACTACTGTTGATCATGACTCTTCAGTCCAGCTGTTTTTTTTTTAAATATAACTGCTATTGTTTAGGTTATTTCTTTGTTACCCAGTTGTTAACCTTGAAGGTAATGAATTCAAGAAAAGTAAGGAAATAATAAAAGAAATGCCTAAATAACTGCTGGTATCAACAGCTATAGGATAAAGAAGATGGCCATATATTCAGAACATCAGTTGAGGTGGACAGAGAATTACCTGACAGGCAGTGAAATGGGAAACAAATTGACTGAGGAAATTAGGATATCACAAATTTCACTGTGTAAGTTTAATTGGAACTATTTTGGGGAAAAAACAAGAATAGACCCACTACCTTCCCCACAAGCATGCTATAAGAGTCAACTAACTGGGAGCTTCTCTTAAAGTCACAGTGCATCTGCAGAGAGGAACGGAAAAAGAGTCTGCATACCAATATGTCACATCTGTAAAACTAAGTTTTGGAACAAGATTAAAGTCAAGAAGTGGATGAACAACCAGAGCTTTCCGCAGGAGTATACAGCCCATGAACGTGAAGAAGAAGTAGTACGTCTAAAAGAAACACTTAAATCAGTGGCTCTCAACTTTCCTAATGCTGGAAAGGTTCGTGACCCACAGGGTGAGAACCGCTGCCTTAAATAAACACTCATGAGGCAGGCTAAAGGAACTAAACTGGATGCCATCCATGACACTGAAAAGACTGCAGGAATGAAAGATTAATGTCATTGTTAGTGGAGGACATAAAATGCTGTGAGCCCACAGTTTGGAAAGCTCATGACCCACAGGGTGCCCGCTGCCTAAATAGCTATGATCAGGATGCCATCCATGACGACTTGTGAGCCCTATGTGCCTCATATACAAAACTGAGATTTGTGAGCCCTATAACTCTTCTCTTCAGTTTGATGCATTGGTCTTTAGTTTGTTCAACCCTGAAAACTGTTTTGCATGATGATGATGTTTATGCTATCGACATACATTTGCCTCTGTCATCATCTGTCTTACTTGCCTAGAATTACTGCATTAAAATTTGGAAGCAACAGAGATGTGGTTTCTGAAACAAATGTTACGAATAACTTGGACCGCCAGAGTTAAGTAACAACGATTGTTTGAAAGACGCTAATGAAAGAAGATCTCTATATACAACAATAAGAAAGAGACAAACACTGTTCTTTGGCGACATAATGAGAAGAGAGACATTGGAGAACATCATGACAACTAGAAACATATGAGTGTCTAGGCCAGTTGGCAGGGCACATGATGATGATGATGACTGCATTCAACATTTTCTCTATTCCATCTCTTCTGCTAATATATCCCAAAACTGTCATGTATCTTTTCATTATGACTTTGAAGAGTCATCTCATAATGCCTGCAGTTTTCCTTACCTCCTGATTTTAAAATTTTTTTTCAGTCCATATTTTTTCATGATTCTTCTCAACAACCACACTCCATGGTGTCCAGCTGTCCCATCATTCATTACTCATTGTCCAGCATTCACAGCCATATAGAAAAACAGGCTACATAACAAGTTTTCAGTGTGCAATGATTAGTTTTTTTTTTTTTTTTATGTTACCAGTATGCACTGTTAGTTTTTCATGATGTTACCTATTTAGGTGAATAGTCTTAACCATCTAACAAACAGAAAAAAAAATAGAAGCAATTTAAAAAATGAAACAAAAATACCTTTACATGTTTCTTCAAGTAGCTGTGGCAGGAACTGAGTATTAGGTCAGGCTTCTTGCGCCCAAGATCAAACAAAGGCATTGGCAATGACAGTTCTGGCTGTCTCGTCACTATCGTTGACAGTGTCAATGAGTGCCATGGTCATCTCTGTGTCGACATTTAAAAACTGTATTTATATATGTTGTTGATGAGTTTTTTTCAATCTGACATTTTTCTTCACTTAAGGACAGAACTAAACATGTTTAAGTGAATCAAAAATTGAAGTAAAGATGCCAGTACTGTGCTGAATGGAAGCCACTGTGGCATAGTGGCTAGATGCTCGCCTGCGAATCTGAAGTTAGTGGGTTCTAATCTGAACAGTGCTGGCATTTTTTTTTTATCTTGACTCCCAAGTTGACCCAGCCTTAAATGGGTACAAGGTAAAAGTTCTGGGAAGTAAATGTGGCTGGCAGGATGCTGACCACATCAACCATCAAGTGCTGATTGGTCTATAAAATATAGGTCTACCCCTATATGCCCAATACACCTGAAGGCATGGAAAAGAATCCTTTACTTTACATATTTACTGTACTGGATAAGACAAACATCAAGAAAATTTTATTCACATATAACTATATTTTGTTGCATTTTGTAAAGTATGAGCATCATACTTTACGGCACTTGGCTGGTTTAGGTGAGGGCGGGGAACGGAAAGGGGGGGGGGGGGCATTAAGAGATAGATGAACAACAGTCATTAAGAGTGTGCAACTAAGGTGAGATTCAAGAGGATCTGAGATACAAAGAAGCCAAGATCCATCGAGAAACACCAGATCAAGTGGTTTGGCCATCTCGTTAGAATGCAGCAACATCAAATACCATCACAGGAACTACATCTCAGAAGATCATCTACAAGAGCAAGAGGACAGTCATGACAAAAAATAGATCAACAATATTAAAGACACTTTACCCCGTCATGATGCGATAATATCAAGTGCCAGCTAGAATGCATCAGATCACAAATTATTCCTCCCCAAGGCGTTTAATGGCAAGATTGATTGATGATGAATGACGCCAAACTGTATTGTGAAGATAACTGATTGTTTAAGTTTGAGCTGGCCATCTTCATACCTGCTATTTCTAAACAAGAATATTTGCAGCCTTTCATAGAGTGACAATTATGACAATACCCCATCAGAATTTTTCTTGTATAGATGAAAATATAAAATGAGGGGATACATTAAGTAAGATAGAGTGTGCTGGGAACATTGTTGTATTATTATATAATTTATATTATATCCCCCTCTAGATTGCAGTCACTTATATAGAGTCACTTCTCGATGCAAATTCAACAGACGCAAAACCTAGAAGCGCAACCGAATAAACGGTTATGTTAGAGCACCTGACAGCTACAAAATAACCTGCCAGTCGATGTCACATGACAATGACAGTCTATATTGTTAAAGTGAATAGTTGAAGTAAATAACGATTAATGGATTAATGGCTAGTGAAGTTTTGTAGTACCGTCGACTTGTCCGCCAGTGACCCTAACGCCATCGTCTTCTGGTCCAGGCATTATCATTCAGTTGTGGGAAAGCGTTGATGTGAGATGAACAGTTCAGTAAAACACAAGAGTAACTTGAGTGTCAGTCAGCGGCTGTCATCGTCCAGTTTGTGAATCTAGCGGTGACTGTTGCCTCCTTCCAAGAGAAAATCATGTGATCCGACCACTTCCGGGAAAACAAAATATTCTATTTTGAGAAAACGAAAGTAGAAAAATAATCAAATCAGAAAACATTTTAATTGACCGTTAGTCATTAGTAGTGACCTTCATCAGTTAAAAAATGTTGAATTTGTCTATTTACATTATGTAGATGTGTATACTTTGAACTGTTTGTGTTAAGTACGGATGTTGTTGTTTGTTCGTGTTGATGACTTTGCCTGCATGAGTGCACAGTGTTGTCCGTCAGTCCCTGGGAACTATGGAGATGTGCCGCTGTCTTTGGGAACAGCATCTGCTGTGACTGTCAAGTCCTATGCTGGAGTGACTGTCTCTGTCACGAAGGGTGTAAACAAAACGTAGATACTTCCTTTCTATGAGGCTGATTTACTCTCTCATATATCCTGTCTATGATGTTTCCTACGTTTTGTTTGAAAATGCGACAATCCGTCTTTCACTTTCTGTCACCACAGTAATCGATCTCCAGCTGTTTTCTTCCCAAGTCTCTGTGCCTATGTTGGTATCAATCAAGTCCCGTTTGCATATGTCTTTATAACGTAGCTTTGGTCTTCCTGTAGGTATTTTCCCCGTTTCCAGTTCACCTTACAGAAGGTCCTTTGGAATACCACCATCATCCATGCGGGAGACATGTCCCATGTCTTTGCTTTAGTACACACTACATTGATGGTGCTGTATTTCTGCTCTTTTGAGTACACATTCGTTGGAGACAAGGTCACGCCATGATATACAGAGGAGGCGCCCCTACAGTGAATATAGAAATTATTCAGTCTCTTTTCTAGAGGAGCATATAGAGTCCATGATTCTCTACCGTATAATAGCGTGCTTAAGACACACTGCTCACAGACTTTCATTTTGATATTATCAGTCAGCTTTTCGTTTAACCAGACTCTCGTAGTGAGATGTAAAAACATTACAGAAGCCTTTCCTATATGTATATTCATCTCTGCATCCAGGAAATTGATCGCCTGAGATCTGTGAGCCAATGTACTCAAAATCAAGAACAGCCAACAGCTGATGATCACAGTTACAAAAATAGAATAAATTCAATTCATAATATTTTATATATTTTGTACACTCATCATCATCAAGTGCCTTGATAACTGGACGATCATGCCTCACCACAATTTGCGATACGCAAATGCGTGTATCAGTTCGTGTGCCGACACCCATCTAAAAAAAAAAAGGTAAAGTCGGGAGATGTGAACCAGCGTCATTGCACACGGTTATAAGCCATAAGTGCTTTGCCACCAGTACGGTCAGCTGATAAGATACTGTCCGCCTGTGTCGCCGTTCGCACGTAACTCTGTAGCTACAGCTACGTTCCTCCATTTACCCCAGAGTGTCAACTCTGGTACCCATTTCCTAGAGGCTGGGTGAACCCCGGGAACTACCCGGTTTCGAACACCGACCGTGGGCTGCAGCGAGTCGCAGCTGGATTTGAAAGCTAGTCTCCTATCGGCTGCGCTAACACGACACCCATCTGCCGTAGGGCACACCCACTTCCAAGCGGTGAACGGAAAACTGAGGCCGCGAGGTCTGAGGCTTATGAGGCTCTGGCTCGCTGGGGAGCGGGGGGGGGGGGGGGGTCTACCTAGTTAAATACTCATATACCTTCTGTGAAGCTTCAGATCTTTAACTCTCGTGCTAACTTGTAGATGCTGGAGTAGGAAAGCAACAGTAGCTCTTTATTTTAAAAAATTAGTTTTGAATTAGTCTTAGAAGAATGCTGAATATCCCCACTGGGCAGATTTCAGATCCAACACGCAAGTAAGACAAGAGACCAAGCAAGATAATGTATCAAATTTTGTTTTTAAAAGCGCCGCTGAAATTACGTCCGCCGTGCACTCAGAATGTAAGACCAGACTCCCTCACCTTCATATGGACACCGTAAGTGAAAAAGAAAACGCACAAGACCAAGAGAGACTTTACGTAGAACCATTATCAGGGAAGGCTCAATTATGGGCCAAATGAATATCCATGACTTGAACCAGGTGGCAACGAACCGCCAGACATGAAGAGCTATGACATCTGCCCTATGCGCCGCCTTAGGCTCGAGAGGAAAGATTAACTAACTTACTTACTGCGACCGGCCCGGCAAGCCTTCAGCGGATGAAATTTCGCTCGAAGAAACAATAAGAAAATAATTAGGACTGATGCTTATGGAGATCCTTAATGCAACTAGAAGAGACCAAATCAGAAATGACAATATATCGGGGGGGGGGGCTGGGAAGGAACCAATACTAAATGACATCAAGAGACAACAGATCAACTGGTTCAGACATGTATCCAGATCACCTCCAGACAGTATAACACAGAAAGCTCTGTCACTTAGACAAAATGAGAGTTGACACCCAAACGTCAGCCACGCAAGCGATGGAATATCCGAGGACGTAAGTACGAGTCTCTAAGTAGCAAATACCAAGGCACACACCCTATGCATCTTCAAAAACTGGCGTTGAAAGGTAGAACAGAACTAGAGAAGAAGAAAAAGAGGAAGAGAAATAATGAAACAGTATTTTCTTTTATAGCAGTCACTGTTGACACCAATAGTCCAATACAGGCAGAAAGGGTTGACTGCTTTGATATCACCGTAGCAGCCGGCAATGAGTGAACTCCACCACAAGTCACAACTGTCCACTAATATACAGACTGAAAACTGCAGAATTTCTGCAGGCAGTATAACTATAATCATAGTGGCAAGTTGAAGACTTGTTTGTTTCCGTGGTAGATTAGTTGCTTACAAGTTTGTGATTCTAAAGTATACTTTCAATGCTGCGAAATCTCACAGTTTTGTGCAAAGACTCGGATTGATTATCAGCTTGTTTTTTTTTTTTTAATAACAAACGAACAGAACAGATGTAAACTGTAAACAAAAGCAGAACAAGGTCAGTACAGTATTTTCATTTTATACTCATAGACTCATAGTCGATGAATGTACATCTATACTTCCTGCAGTGTTACTGAGCTTTACTGTATGTTATACTAAATAATAAAATTAATTAATAGTAAAATTAAGTCATTTAGTTTTCGGCGTTTACAATACATTAATATACATACAGTTTAAATATGTGTAGACGTAAAATTAAAATAGTTTTTCTTCGCTTTCACCGGTTGTAAACCTCGGCGGAAAGCTCTGTTTGTTCGTTCACTCTCTGGAGTCAAGTCCTGTTCGAGGACTTGATTGTTTTATGCACATCCGTTTTACAGATCTGACTCATGTGTATGCAGACTGTTGGTTTCTTGCCTCTCAGGCAGATGCATTTTGACTTCACAAGAAGCTCCTAATTAGTCATCTCTTAAAGACATTCATTTGGGTAGACACTAAGACGGTGGATCCCTGGAACCCACACACTGATTATCTCTT